AAACATACATATGTATATATGTGTATACATGTAAACATACATATGTATATATGTGTATACATGTAAACATACATATGTATATATGTGTATACATGTAAACATACATATGTATATATGTGTATACATGTAAACATACATATGTATATATGTGTATACATGTAAACATACATATGTATATATGTGTATACATGTAAACATACATATGTATATATGTGTATACATGTAAACATACATATGTATATATGTGTATACATGTAAACATACATATGTATATATGTGTATACATGTAAACATACATATGTATATATGTGTATACATGTAAACATACATATGTATATATGTGTATACATGTAAACATACATATGTATATATGTGTATACATGTAAACATACATATGTATATATGTGTATACATGTAAACATACATATGTATATATGTGTATACATGTAAACATACATATGTATATATGTGTATACATGTAAACATACATATGTATATATGTGTATACATGTAAACATACATATGTATATATGTGTATACATGTAAACATACATATGTATATATGTGTATACATGTAAACATACATATGTATATATGTGTATACATGTAAACATACATATGTATATATGTGTATACATGTAAACATACATATGTATATATGTGTATACATGTAAACATACATATGTATATATGTGTATACATGTAAACATACATATGTATATATGTGTATACATGTAAACATACATATGTATATATGTGTATACATGTAAACATACATATACATGCGTACACATATATACATAAGTATATGTATGTATGTATGTATGTATGTATGTATGTATCTATCTATATATCTATACACACAACGGTTGGAAAAAGTGCTCTGACTTCTACCTAATATCGGTATTCCTTACAGGGGCGTCATTTGGTGGAGAGGGACAGGGGACAGTTGTCCCTCCTAGGATGTTTGCCAAGCTTCCTATTTGTCTTTCATATAACACATTGATCTATAGTCTTAGATGACATTTACTTGATCATCTTCCTGTGTCGTGCATCTAGGGTGTCCACTTCTGGCCTTGTCTCTGGTGGATCTAGTTGTTTGGTGTCGCTGGCTCCGAAATACCTAATCCTGATATTTCGGATCTTGAGAGTTCCTCAGAGTAAAGCGTAATTAAGATGCTACAAATGGTCTATGAAGTCTCCATTGCTAATATTGGCGTGATACGAAGCCTTATTCATATCAATTCAATGCACTATTCGAACACAATATGAAGCTTTATTTGTTCCGAGCTTTGAAAACAAGGACCAACGTTTCCGAATCATCGTTTCGGTTCCATCAACTCCCGAGTAAAGAGACTTATTTAGCGGTGTACATATATTATATATGTATATATACATATATATGTGTATACATGTATATATACATATGTATACACAAATATATTAATTTATATATGATCTGGATCATGGGTAATATTTTGACGGACAGCCAGTGAAGGAAGTGTTGCAGTGGGGATTTGACGTGTTTTAAAGGCGCCTCGCCAGCATAAAAGGTGGAGAAACTGAGATTATGGCCGTAGCCCTTGTATATAGATATATGTATATATATATATTTGCATATTTATATGTATATATACAGATACATGCGTACACATATATACATAAGTATATGTATGTATGTATGTATGTATCTATCTATATATCTATACACACAACGGTTGGAAAAAGTGCTCTGACTTCTACCTAATATCGGTATTCCTTACAGGGGCGTCATTTGGTGGAGAGGGACAGGGGACAGTTGTCCCTCCTAGGATGTTTGCCAAGCTTCCTATTTGTCTTTCATATAACACATTGATCTATAGTCTTAGATGACATTTACTTGATCATCTTCCTGTGTCGTGCATCTAGGGTGTCCACTTCTGGCCTTGTCTCTGGTGGATCTAGTTGTTTGGTGTCGCTGGCTCCGAAATACCTAATCCTGATATTTGAGAGTTCCTCAGAGTAAAGTGTAATTATGATGCTACAAATGGTCTATGAAGTCTCCATTGCTAATATTGGCGTGATACGAAGCCTTATTCATATCAATTCAATGCACTATTCGAACACAATATGAAGCTTTATTTGTTCCGAACTTTGAAAACAAGGACCAACGTTTCCGAATCATCGTTTCGGTTCCATCTACTCCCGAGTAAAGATACTTATTTAGCGAGTGTACATATATATACATATACATATACATATACACCCCCCCCCCACATATATATATACATATATATGAATACAAATATATATATATATATATATATGTATATACATATATATATATATATATATATATATATATATATATATATATATATATATATGCATATACATACAAACACACACACACACATATATATACATACACACAAATTCATATATGTATCTATTCATTATCACTATATCTCTCTATATAAATGTATGTATATATATGTATATTTGTATATATCTATATTCATATATATACACATGTATGTATGTATGTATGTATATATGCATATTTGCATACACGTACACACACATATATATCTATCTCCCTCTTTATATAAATGTATGGTCCATATATGTACTTTTGTTTATAGATACATATATAGAGATATCTATAGATATAAACATATATATAAATATATATATATATACACATACATATATGTATACACACACATATATAAATATATGTATATATATGCACACACAAACACACAAACATACACACACACACACATATGTATGTGAATCTTACAGTACAAATGCACACACACACACATATGTAGAAATATATGTAGGTATATACGTATACACACACACTCAAATTTGAGATCCTGCTTACAGATGAGTGTATGGAAACTAGACATATTTACAGTAGTATCATTTTGTGTCTGGCAGGGCGTTTTTGGTGTTAGTGTTAACATGTGTCAGTGTGAGTTAATGTGTGTGTGTTGTACTGGTGTATATGTGTTTGGATTTTAAAGACCACACATATCTGAAAAGGGTTCTAATTGCTTTAGAATATAGTCCAATGAAACCTTTCAACAGCTTATAGGGAAATTCGCTACAAGTGTGCAAATACATTTGCGTGTGGTATTAGAGGGCACAGCGGCCACTGGATGACTTTAAAGAAGTATATAAGGCGAAAATGTCGGTCAGTTAGCATGTTGGTTCTCTGCAGGACACATCGATCATCAAGTATGTAGTCGAAATTTTGATACGTATAGTTTATATTATATGGAATACTAGTGTTATTAGTGTATGGCACGGTGTACATTAAATGCAATTATATATGTATATATACACCTACATCCATATATAAACATGTATTCATATAAATATGTGTATGTATATACATACACTCACAGTAATATATACCTACCTACACACACATATATGCATATGTATGTACACGCATATAAATATGCACCTACACAGGTATATGCATATATGTGTATTTGTGTGTCGAGAAGATATAGATACACTATTTACACACATAGCTATATATACAATCACAGTAATGCAGATACAGAATAAAATAAACTGATTTTTTGTTTTCTTGAAGGCACTTCAGGATGTCAGCAACCGGACTTTTGCTGTTGGGCGTGGTGGCGGCGGTGGGCGGGGCCAACGTGTTCCCCGAGCCACGCCTGGAGACGCTGCCCTGCGGAACGACCACCATGAACCCCGGCGAGCGAGTGGCCATCCAGTCGCCCAACTTCCCCCAAAACTACGACACGGACTACAGGTGATTCGCTCTTCACAAGTTTAGCTGTTTGATGATTTTTCTGTAATTAAAATAAGAATTCTTTTCCACTTCGATCTGTGTAAATTTCCTCATTTCACTCCGTTTTAATAACACATATACCGACAGGTGCCAGTACGAGATCACTTGCAACCCCATGGAGTCTACCTACCTGGAGTTCATCTGTCCTACTTTCGAACTGGAATCCTCCACCGACTGCCTCAATGACCGCCTTGTGGTGACTTACCATGGCTCTCGCGAAGAGTAAGTAATTTGGGCCTTTTGCCTACCGAAATCCGCGTCTTTCGTTTCCTCGAATCAGTTTATTTACTACAATTTCCTCACACAGAAAATGCGGCACCGACAGTCCCGACGGAACCATCACCTCCGACGGGTGGACGCGCCTCACCTTCGCCAGCAACGCCGCCACCACCGCCCCTGGCTTCCGCTGCTACATCTGGTGCCGCGAACAGACCACCACGACCTCCACCACCACTTCAACGACAACCACACCTACCACTACTACTACCCCAACTACCACTACTACAACTACAACACCTACCACCACCACTACCCCTACAACAACCACCACACCTACCACCACCACACCCACTACAACCACACCCACTACAACCACACCCACAACCACCACCACACCCACTACAACCACACCCACAACCACCACCACACCCACCACAACCACACCCACTACAACCACACCCACAACCACTCCAGTCTGCTAGATTAAGAAGTATGTACTACCTGTTTACACGCCTCAGCAGGCTATTAACATTACCAAGATATAAAACAGGAAAAGCACAATGCAAATGAAACTGAAACATGTTGACATTCCTAAACCATAATGAGGCGAACAAGGTTAGCAATGTGGCTGATGGTTAGAAAGCTTGTTTAGTAGAGTGGTGTTGATGGAGTTGAAGCACTCTTACACAATAAACTCATATTCACCATAAGTATTCTTTCTGTTCTAGTATAAAGCTCCTGGCTTCCGCTGCAATACTTGCTGCGAAAACATCTACCAATACTATAACACCAGTCACCATTACTACCTATACTACCTCTACTATACCTACTCTACTTCCACTACTATAATTACAACGCCTACTACTGCTACAAATAGTGTTTACTACCACTACGTCTTCAACTACCACAACTACACCTGCAACTACTACCACACTCACAACCACTCCAATCTGCTATGAAAAATTCAGCCCATTCCTCTTCGCACTTTAACACCTAACGCCACTACTAAAAACACAACACCCTCTGCAACACCTCCCACATCTACAACTCCCCTATCCACTACAGCCTCTGCAAGATCACCAATGCTTTGCGAGATTCTCACACTGGCTTTTACAATCCTTGAATTGAAGTATATTTGTTCAGTGAAATGTGATATAAAATTATTAGATGACTCTAATAATCAGATCAGATTAAAGATTTTACTGCTCACCAAGCTGAACAAATAATAAAATAAGGTATCCACCAAAACTGCACAAGTAGTAATAGCATGGGTAAGTGTTCATCTGTGCATGTATATCATGTATGGATGAATATGCGTGGAATGAATAGTCCATATTAGTAGTTGTATATATATACACACAGTATATATATATGTGTGTGTATGTGTGTGTTTGTGCGTGTGTACATATGCACACACTGAATATATGTATGTATATATATACACACAGTATATATATGTGTGTGTGTGTGTTTGTGCGTGTGTACATATGCACACACTGAATATATGTATGTATATATGATTATGTATATGTACGTGTGTAGGTATATATATACGTCTATGTATGTATGTATATATGATTATGTATATGTACGTGTGTAGGTATATATATACGTCTATGTATGTATGTATATATGATTATGTATATGTACGTGTGTAGGTATATATATACGTCTATGTATGTATGTATATATGATTATGTATATGTACGTGTGTAGGTATATATATACGTCTATGTATGTATGTATATATGATTATGTATATGTACGTGTGTAGGTATATATATACGTCTATGTATGTATGTATATATGATTATGTATATGTACGTGTGTAGGTATATATATACGTCTATGTATGTATGTATATATGATTATGTATATGTACGTGTGTAGGTATATATATACGTCTATGTATGTATGTATATATGATTATGTATATGTACGTGTGTAGGTATATATATACGTCTATGTATGTATGTATATATACATGTATACACATATATGTGTTCATTTCCATATAAACTGGACCATAGGTGATGTTTTGAAAGACAGCCAGTGAAGGAAGGGTTGCAGTGGCGATTTGCCAGCGGAAAAGGTGGCGAAACTGAGGTTATATATTTCCATATATATACGTATACATAGATACATACATACTTATATCTATCATTATATGTATACATATATATATGTACGTATGTATGTATATATGATTATGTATATGTACGTGTGTAGGTATATATATACGTCTATGTATGTATGTATATATGATTATGTATATGTACGTGTGTAGGTATATATATACGTCTATGTATGTATGTATATATGATTATGTATATGTACGTGTGTAGGTATATATATACGTCTATGTATGTATGTATATATGATTATGTATATGTACGTGTGTAGGTATATATATACGTCTATGTATGTATGTATATATGATTATGTATATGTACGTGTGTAGGTATATATATACGTCTATGTATGTATGTATATATGATTATGTATATGTACGTGTGTAGGTATATATATACGTCTATGTATGTATGTATATATGATTATGTATATGTACGTGTGTAGGTATATATATACGTCTATGTATGTATGTATATATGATTATGTATATGTACGTGTGTAGGTATATATATACGTCTATGTATGTATGTATATATGATTATGTATATGTACGTGTGTAGGTATATATATACGTCTATGTATGTATGTATATATGATTATGTATATGTACGTGTGTAGGTATATATATACGTCTATGTATGTATGTATATATGATTATGTATATGTACGTGTGTAGGTATATATATACGTCTATGTATGTATGTATATATGATTATGTATATGTACGTGTGTAGGTATATATATACGTCTATGTATGTATGTATATATGATTATGTATATGTACGTGTGTAGGTATATATATACGTCTATGTATGTATGTATATATGATTATGTATATGTACGTGTGTAGGTATATATATACGTCTATGTATGTATGTATATATGATTATGTATATGTACGTGTGTAGGTATATATATACGTCTATGTATGTATGTATATATGATTATGTATATGTACGTGTGTAGGTATATATATACGTCTATGTATGTATGTATATATGATTATGTATATGTACGTGTGTAGGTATATATATACGTCTATGTATGTATGTATATATGATTATGTATATGTACGTGTGTAGGTATATATATACGTCTATGTATGTATGTATATATGATTATGTATATGTACGTGTGTAGGTATATATATACGTCTATGTATGTATGTATATATGATTATGTATATGTACGTGTGTAGGTATATATATACGTCTATGTATGTATGTATATATGATTATGTATATGTACGTGTGTAGGTATATATATACGTCTATGTATGTATGTATATATGATTATGTATATGTACGTGTGTAGGTATATATATACGTCTATGTATGTATGTATATATGATTATGTATATGTACGTGTGTAGGTATATATATACGTCTATGTATGTATGTATATATGATTATGTATATGTACGTGTGTAGGTATATATATACGTCTATGTATGTATGTATATATGATTATGTATATGTACGTGTGTAGGTATATATATACGTCTATGTATGTATGTATATATGATTATGTATATGTACGTGTGTAGGTATATATATACGTCTATGTATGTATGTATATATGATTATGTATATGTACGTGTGTAGGTATATATATACGTCTATGTATGTATGTATATATGATTATGTATATGTACGTGTGTAGGTATATATATACGTCTATGTATGTATGTATATATGATTATGTATATGTACGTGTGTAGGTATATATATACGTCTATGTATGTATGTATATATGATTATGTATATGTACGTGTGTAGGTATATAAAAGGCCTCGACCTGATATTCCTGACAGGGGCGTCATTCGGTGGAGGGGGGCAAGTTGTCCTTCCCTGCCCCCCCCCCGGGCCAAAAAATTGTAATTTTTAATAATTACACCTATATAAATCCGTTTAAAGCTTAGTATACCCCTAGAATGTCTAATTTCTCTAAATTTTGCTTCATTTTGCTCGGCTATATTTCAATAATTTAATTTTGAAATGTATAATACTATTGATATTTCGTGTTACCGCCACCTGCTTGGCAAACGCTGGCGAGTCAGGTGTTATGGATGTCACTAACACCGCCGTTAACTGGCGTTTGCTAAACGCAATCGTTCCCATGCCATAACTGCTTAAGCAACGACAATATGACCATTGCTAGCATGATATTGGGGGCGTCTCTGTCCATGGCTGCCCAAACATTCTCAATGAGACTGAAATACGGTGATTTAGTTGGATGTGGCACATGGTAATCTCGGGGTGTTGCCGAAATCTTGCCTTCACGACACTGCTCATGTGGATAAATATATATATGTATGTATATTCATTTATATATAAGCTACTGTCTGAACAAGGCTAATGATGAACAACCACTCTAATGATGTGTCCCTGCTGCTGCCAATTCCACGGTTCTCTGGTTGGACTCCCATGATTGTATTTACGAGCTCTTTCTCTTAAGTTTCGTATATTTAACAACGATTTACCTTTATGAATACCAATGATCCCTTCAGAGGGGTTGTTAGATATACATGTAAATATTTGTATCTATTTATACATATACATATATTATCTATGTATACACATATCTCTATAATTATATTCTTTGTATCTCAGTTTGTCATTGTGTGTTTGTATGTGAGAGAGAGAGAGAGAGAGAGAGAGAGCAGGGAGGGAGGGAGTTAAAAAGTGCATCAGAAATGGCCTTGAGTTTTAAACACCGAAATGTTTTAATTGCCAATTCTTAAATGAAACTGTGAAAGCAGCTTTCAATGAAATCCGTATCGACAGGTGTGCAAATAAATTTGTATAAGACGCCACATTGCATAAAAGCCTTTAAAAAGTATAAAAGGGGAAAATGTCTATCATTTAGCAAGTTGGTTTTCTCCTGGAAACGTCTGCTTTCACTCGAGTAATAAGTTAGCAACATATGTGGCAATCTAATTTTAATGCATATAGACAATATGTACAAATTCACACACACACATATATATGTATGTATGTATATATATATATATATATATATATATATATATATATATAAACGCACATATATATGTATATATATTTACACACAGCATATATGTATATATATTTACACACAGCATATATGTATCTATATACATATATAAATGTATGTATGTATATTTGTACACACATATATCTACATCTATATACACCACACATACATATATATATACTTATTATATATATGTATATATATCTAATATATACATGCATATATATGTATGTATATTCATTTATATATAAGCTACTGTCTGAACAAGGCTAATGATGAACAACCACTCTAATGATGTGTCCCTGCGGTTCTCTGGTTGGATTCCCATGGCTACATTTACGAGTTCTTTCTCTTAAGTTTCGTATATTTAACAACGATTTACCTTTATAAATACCAATGATCCCTTCGGAGGGGTTGTTAGATATACATGTAAATATTTGTATCTATTTATATATACATATATTATCTATGTAAACACATATCCCTATAATTATATTCTTTGTATCTCAGTGTGTGTGTGTGTGAGAGAGAGAGAGAGAGAGAGAGAGAGAAAGAGAGCAGGGAGGGAGGGAGTTAAAAAGTGCATCAGAAATGGCCTTGAGTTTTAAACACCGGAATGTTTTAATTGTCAATAAATCAATTCTTAAATGAAACTGTGAAAGCAGCTTTCAATGGAATCCGTATCGACAGGTGTGCAAATAAATTTGTATAAGACGCCACATTGCATAAAAGCCTTTAAAAAGTATAAAAGGGGAAAATGTCTATCATTTAGCAAGTTGGTTTTCTCCTGGAAACGTCTGCTTTCACTCGTGTAATAAGTTAGCAACATATGTGGCAATCTAATTTTAATGCATATAGACAATATGTACAAATTCACACACACACACACACACACATATATATATATTTATATATATATATATATATATATATATATATATATATATATATATATATATATATATATATATATATATATATATATATATATATATATATATATATATATATATATATATATATATATATATATATATATATATATATATATATATATATATATATATATATATATATATATATATATATATATATATATATATATATATATATATATATATATATATATATATATATATATATATATATATATATATATATATATATATATATATATATATATATATATATATATATATATATATATATATATATATATATATATATATATATATATATATATATATATATATATATATATATATATATATATATATATATATATATATATATATATATATATATATATATATATATATATATATATATATATATATATATATATATATATATATATATATATATATATATATATATATATATATATATATATATATATATATATATATATATATATATATATATATATATATATATATATATATATATATATATATATATATATATATATATATATATATATATATATATATATATATATATATATATATATATATATATATATATATATATATATATATATATATATATATATATATATATATATATATATATATATATATATATATATATATATATATATATATATATATATATATATATATATATATATATATATATATATATATATATATATATATATATATATATATATATATATATATATATATATATATATATATATATATATATATATATATATATATATATATATATATATATATATATATATATATATATATATATATATATATATATATATATATATATATATATATATATATATATATATATATATATATATATATATATATATAT